AAAAAAAAAAAACAACAAAAAAAAAAAAAAACCCCGCGGAAAGCAGGAAGGAGGAGCAGGTGATGTGACCGCTGCAGCCGCAAGAAGCGCGGAGTTAGGGCCGGTGCCGCGGCGAATGTGACAAAGGCCCTGACAGGAAAAAGGAAACGGGTTTGGCAGAGCGGAGAGGAGCCTCTAGAGAGCGGAGGAGGAGGAGAGGGGAGCGGAGGGGCCAGCCGAGGAAAGGAGGTCCGGTCGCAACAGCGTCGGCTCTCCGAAGTAACCCAAGGACCGGGGCTCCTCTGAGGTGACGTGCGAGCCCCGGTCCCTGCAGCTTAACCATAGCTTTGCTTCCTTGCGGTGGGGGTGAAGGTAGCGTACGCTGCAGTTTCCTGCAATGAAGTCCAGCCGTGGGCGACTCCGCGCTTCAGGGCCTCGTGGCCAGCTGGAATAACCGTCCCTGGCCGGCCGTGTCCACCCCCTCTAGGAGGCCACTGGTGAGCAGACCAGAAGCATTTGCTCCGTGGGCCGGGCTGGCTGGTGAGAGGCAGCGGCCCTCCGTTGGCATGTATCAGCTTTTGAGTTAAGGAATCCAAGAAGTGTCAAAGAAATGAGCCAATACACAGCTTTGGAGGTGGCCAAGTAGAATGAGTTGCCTGGCAGGTAACCCGAGATGAGTGGTACAGGCTTTCTACCCCTGCTCTGCCGCAGGCTTTCATGTGATTTGGGATGCATCAGTTCTTTGCCGCTATGGAAAAGGAACAGTGGCATTTTCACAGCTCACAAGATCCTGCAATGCCTAAGTTGTAATACACTTGTATTGTAGTAAGATGGCCTTACGTATGTAATTAAAATGGCCTGGTTCCTATCATCTCTCCCTACAGAATTAGATGTAAAATTAACTGACATAGTAATAGGACTTAGAGGGATGTTAGGCACTGTATGTACTACGTGAAGGATATAAAAGGAGAAACAAAGTGTGCCAAGGCTACAAATGCCTGTGGTACATGCACAGCAAATGAGAAGGAAAAACAGTGTGAACTATTAGAAAGGCAAAAGGAGAACTGAGAGGACAAGGTCGTGAAAGCCCAAAGGACCAGATCTCAAGGTGAAAGTGATCAGCAAGTTTCAAAGCTGATAAAAAGAGCTGAATTAACTGGAAAAGCTGGGAAAGGAAGGAGAAAGGGTGGCAGATTGATAATTTATTTGTTTATCGCCCTTAAATGAAGGAAGATATATTGTTAGAGGCAGAAGGAAGCGGGTTAAAAACCGAGTTTAAGACGCAGGCACAGCATAAAGCAGACAGATTATTAACCTAGGTTTAATGAGAGCCGCTCTTTAACTACAGGAATATGAGCTGTGTCAGAAATACTAGGCTAGACATTCCTCCTGCTTGCTTTAAAAATGAGAGTAATTCAGTTGAATTCCTTGGACAGGGAGCACTGTTAAACCAGGCTAAGTGAGAAGAGAGTCAAGCGTGTTCTTTTCAAATCCTTGAGAAATGCAGTAGAACAATGATGTTGTTCTGACAGAGAGGAACTGAAGAGTTAAAGACCTTTTGCCTTCGTTGCTTACTCCTTCAAGCAAACATACTGGAAATGACAGTCACGGACTGAAAACTCAATAGTCTGAGTATGAAACAAATAAAAACAAAAAACAAAAAAGGGCCAAGATACAAGCACGGTGTCTGGCTAAAACCTACTGATAGCCATTAATTCATGGACTAATTTGGCTTCAAGAGTCTTTTGTTCCTTCCCTGTCTTTCCCACAGGTTTTAGGGGATGCAGTTAAAGGTCTTGGTCTTAATTTTTACATTCACTAACGTGCAGAAATACTTCAAGTTGTCTCAACAAACTGTTCCCCAGTGTGATGAACAGAAATACTAAGGTTAGCAAAATCCATCTTCAGATATATGAAGCATTTGCCATATTTTATGAGTATGGCCCTTCAGCAGGGGCACAAAACAAATTAGTAAAGGTTCTTGTCCAGTAACAAAACTGAAGAAGTGTGTGTTTGGGGGGCGGGGGGGAGGTAACTCTGGAAAACAATGTGTATTTATGTTGCAACAGTGGCTACAACATGCTAAAAATGTTTTCCAAGCATATAAAGGCTCTATTCATTGCCGAAGAGCCTGTTCCTTAAAAGACAGCATAAGGACAAAACATGAAGAAAAGAAACATACAGCATACAAAGCAAAATGCCCAACATGACGGTTGCCAAAAGTGAGGGGGAAGGAACTTCCTCCTCTTTCTTTTCTGCAGGTTACTCTTTGCTGCTCCTTGACCTGACGTTTCCAAGGTATCTTATTTCTTGTATGTGTCAGTGGATATTGGAAAAGAACTTGAGTGATGACTGGGTAGCAATGAGGTATATTGGTCTGCAGAGAATGCAAATAAAAAATCCATAAAGTAATACCAGTCATGAGGAGGATCTTATGGGATAAAATTAATGCAAGGTCATAACTTTTTATCACTGCTTAGATATGAATCTGATATGTTTATTAGAAATGCCTAAAAATAGGTTGGTCAATGGGTAACTTTTCTGCTTTCATTAAGCTGCAATAATAGGTGCGTTTATACCATGCTTTATATATTTTAAGCACTGCAGCAGCGTACTGCAGTGGTAAGGTTATATAAGCAACCAGAAATAATTTTTGAAGCCCAAAGAGAGGGGGGAAATGCAGAATAGCGAGATTAGAAAAATTTAATTCGCAGAACAAAATCAACTTGGAAATAAAGAGGTGGGTTTTTTTTAATCCCATCTTCAGATAGTTTTACTGTGAACAGGAAAAAGCATGTGGGACTCAAGGCTACTGTCAGAAAGGCACTTGGAAGGTACACAGATACTGCTGTGATTGACGATAGTGTAAGGACTCAGGCAAACAGGTGTGTGTCCATGACAAAGTCATGATTAAAATTCAGGACATCTGGGTTCATAGAATTTGCTGTTTTCCCCCAGGTCACTCCATCGTGTTCCTCAGCCTGACTGAAGAACTTGACCTGACTGGTCTTACTCCACTTAAACCATTATTCATTGATCTCAGCAGCGGCATTTTTCAAGCTTTTCATACTAGCAAGTGAACTGTAACAGGTTTGCAGCTTTTCCAAATAAAGCTGGGGATCTGTTTGTCTGAGCTGGATTCTCTGTTAAGCTCGCTTCCTTTCTAATCAGGACAAACTGTACAAAGTACATCCACAAGGCTATGCAAGTGCTCCTTTGTTGAATGCACACTCTTCTCCTGAGGTACTCAAAGGGTTAGCATAGTTTATTCCTCTCCCAAATACCTTCCCCCTCCCAACCTTATTTCTGCAAAGCTAGGAAAGGTTCATCCACCAGAGCAGGTGAGGAACACGTAAGGTTCTCTCTTAGCTGTGCTGGCAGTGACTGGCACAGAAGAGCACGCCGGGTCTCGTGCTGTGACTGCTCAGATAACTTCAAGTCACTTTGTGGCCAACACAAATTGAGGGATCTCAGCAGTTTTTAAGATCCAGGCTACAGCTCTCCAATACACAAAGAGCTTGAAACTCCACTATCGTTACAGACCCTTATGAAGTGGGTCCAGACTGCAACGCAACCCTTGGGACAACAGAGAATTGGGCTCAGAGCCTTGAAGATAATCCACAATACTCTGGACCACATTCCACCCTGCTTATTCTTTTGTTTATGCCAACGTAGCGTTTCCCTGAAAGTTTTTGCTGAAATTAAAGTAACAAAATAATTTGGTTGTTTATCACTGAATATCATCATGTTGTAATGTTTAAAGGAAAAACCTTTCATTATAATCTCAGATTATAAGGGTTGGGCTAAATTATAAGGAGAAGTATTCTCAATTACTTTGTATAAACTTGTGAAGGTTAGTGTTTAATATTGCAGGATTCCTCCAGGCTCTTCAACTAAAATTGTTTTTGCTGTCCCTGAGTCTGTCTGAAATGATATGCATTTGCTTCTCTGGGAATATAGCCTATTATACCAAAAACATGGTTACAGTTGAGCCAGGGAGATTTCTGCAGATTTAAATATTGGTCTGCTTTAATAATTTTGTTCATCTGTAAAGAAAAATGCATTACACTAGTGAATTACACTATAGGAACAATGTTCTTTTTTTTTTTTTTTCCAGAAAGTACTGCCACCAGACCTCTGTATCTGTAAAACGATGAAAATGCAGCAGAGCTTCGAAAAAGCTCAAGACTGACTCATTCTAGTTTTGTCCTCATTTTAAACTTTGTACCATGAAAAGTTCAAAAGCTTTTTCCACATTGTTTGTGAGGTCTCTCCAGAGGGAGTATTTCTGGCTTTGGTTAGAAAAGAACTCCCCGTCTTGCTAAAGATTGACAATTATGTACATTTTTGGCCTCTAACTTAAGCAAGCCAGCAGGCCCTCAGGGTGATTAAAGTCCAGTTATGGACAGAGAGATACTTTTAAAGAACATTTTTTAAACACTATTTGAAATCCATGCACTGATACAACGATAAGCAGTTCTGAAAAAGAATTCCTCTTTTATCTGTATATAGGTCAAATTCATCTGAACTGCGCCAGAAATTTTTCTCAATTTTGATGCAGGCAAGCCTTCTAGCGTTAGAACAAGGGACTCAAGTGTAAGGAAAGTCTCTTCAGCGCTTCATGGGGTCACAGAGGGCCACAATCATAACATGACCTTTTTACTTTGCATCTGATATGTGCTTCCTGCCCCGTGTCATCATGATTCAGCATCGTGACATGCTGAAAGATCATCAAGGTGGAAACAATGCAGAGCAGTGTTAGGGTGATGTGGCCTGCCATGATTATTTTGCTTTTACCTGATTTATTGCACATCATATTTTCTCTTTCCTCTCCTTCCAGCTGCCAGGCACGTAGTTCGCTCTGTTGCCAGTGCCTTCCCTTGTGTTAGGAAGGGAAAAGAGAACAGGCGTCCCTGGGATGCGGGCAAGAAGGACAGTTTGCTTTGTGACCCTTGGTCTGGAAAGCTTGACAGAGTCTCAGCTCATGTATTACAACATATCTTACTATTTAATGGGTTACGGTCTCAGGTTTTTGTTCCTGCTCCTTAGAAACTATTAGCCAGAGTTCACGAGGGAATCAAGAACGTGAAGTGGTATTTGTTAGAGGAGTGCATATTTTATCTTGGGGCGAAGATGCAGCTTCTTTTCTCTTTCTCCAGTTGGCTAGCTGTATTTTTAATATCTCTACATTCTTTTTCTGAGGAAGGCAGTTGTCTTCTACTAGTAAGAGAGCCTCCAAGAAAAGAAAAAGCTTAAAACATTTGCTGCTGCAGAAGGAGAAACATGTCTCAGTAATTTAAAAGAGGAAGGAAGAGACAATAGTGAGGGAGTTTTTGAACTGATAACAGCAACCAGGTGTTATTCCTCAATAGACTTAGGGGTTTTGATTTTTTTTTGGATGAGGCAATTTCGAGAAAAGAATGCAGCGAGTAAACTTCATTTTTATTTGTTTTCTAGGTGAACAATGGTCCCCCCCTCCTTGTCTTGAACAATGGGGATACAACATTGTAGTTGCATGTTTTCCTTAAACTATCAAGACAGCACATCTGTCCTGAAGAGCTCCCCTTTGCCAGGGCTGGCTACGTTCACACACACGTACATACACATTGTGAGTCCGACCCCTGGACAGCCATCCCACGCTAGATGTATTCAACGCTGCTCGGCACTTTGTTCCCCTGTACTCCCTATTTCCTCCTCTACCAGGACAGGGCCTGGGTGTTCCCATGTCCCATTTCCATCCTTCCCGAGGATGCAGGCTTTTATTGTGCACCACTCTATTTGCCCTCAGTGTACTTCTCGTGCCCTTCTGTACCGTTTTTGTAGGTTGTGGTTTGATGACACATCTGAGTCACTCTGTTGAGTGGCTGCCCACCAAAACAGGTGGTCCTGCTCCCTCCAGCAGCACGCTCCTTCACCCTTCCTTACGGTAGCGCCACGCTTGTCTAGCCCTTTGGTGAGTCAGTTCAAGAGAATAGTTTTCTGTTGGATTAACAAGTTGGATCGGCTTACCGTGTGGTTTGATGTGGTGCAAGAGAGGGTGTGGACCAGCAGGACCAGGAGTCGGGGAGGAAAAAGCAGGACCACCCAAGTCAGAACAGTAAGCTGACTCAGTCATTTCATGTAACTTCACCCTTATTTACTCCATATTATGTAATTTGACCCATTTCTACTTTCTCTTTAACTGAGAGGAGTCAGTGCAAGTGACCTCTTAAAACCATACTGAGAGAATCAGCAGATCCAAAGTGCAGGATATTGTTCTGTACTGGGATGTCATAATAGCTGGTGTCAGCTGATTCTTCTTTCTAAGGATGTGGGGAGAGGTGTTTTAGGTTACTGGCTCTGAGAACAGCAGGCCAGAGACTCAAATTTTACCGGTTTTGCAGTTTTTAGCAGTTGATAAGGTTCTGTCTGTTGATTAAAATAGTTCTTGAGATTTTGGAACTGAACAAATACGGTATTAAAAATTGTGATGCTGATAAACACTCATTATGAGGGCGCTTCTAGGTCTCCTTGCTCCCTGTGCTGACAAGCACGACCCTCTGTGCAAATACACTTACTCTAGTACCAGAGTAGAGGATATTTCAGTATATTTTAAAGCACTTCCCAAGCAGCATCACTTACACCAAGGACAGATATATACTAAAGCAGGAATGTCAATATGAGGTTTATAGTCATTCAAATTCATATCTTATATTACTACGAGAAGTTAGCCCCTCCCAATCCACATTCACACTGTTCATTCCACCTCCTTCAATGGACGTTCAGAGGGCGCAATGCTGTCGATGCTTCAGGTGAAACAGAATGCTACAATTGTACACCGGAGAGCTCTTACAGAACCGTACCTAAGTATTAGATCCTGGAAAAATTACACTTAGCGGGAGGCTCTTGCAAAAAACCCATAGCTGAATATGAATTATTAACATCTTTGGGTTGTTCTTGGAGCAATAGTACGTGTTACAGAGCTGTAATTAGGGCTGGGTTGCATCTGAGTCTTCCTATCACGCTACATCACTTCGTCACTGTTAGAGTTATTACCCCTGAACCTGTTCCTTGCTCACCCAGCTAGCTAATTAGTGACCGAGAGATAAGATGGCATTTATTGGTAGTAGAAGAAATGGCCTTTCATTTTTACGCAGAAGAAAAAACAGATCAGCAAGCAATTTACACATTCTTCATCCACCCACAGCGTAATGGAAGATGATAATGCTTATCTTTTCAGGAGGCAGATTTCACTTTTTTCCTTACTGTTCCAACAGGCTTACATTTTCTCCCTGGCGCTATTCTTACTATTTTTTTTAATAACTTCAGACTGCGTCTAATGCGAGGACCACGTTCCAAATTTTTCATCAAAACAGATTCCTAGAAGGGTTCCTCGGAATACAGTTTCCTCACTGTGCGATATAGATGGAGCT